TTGAGGGACCCAATATCGCGACTTCTATAAATATATCATTCACATCATGATAGCAAGATAGCTTTCGGACACCAAACTCGTTTTCTCACAGTCACAACAGTGTGCATGCGGAGTACCACCTACTGTGGCAAAAGATGAGGATAAATGGTGCCCCAACCTTTAAAAGCGATCTGTTTAGACAAATTCTAAAGTATAATAGGCCAAGATGTATTTTCCGTTACAGTCGGTGATTTATCTCGATGTTCACAGTGTTACCATATTTGATCACATGTCCTGTGTACACAAGATACTATCAAGCGCTACTGATACATTTTTGTAATCAAGCATCAACACAAGTTGTTGACAGAATCGAATGCTAAATTTGGAGGAAAAGGTTGCAATAGCATGGTATACAGTAAAATCTACGTGATTTGACCATTTAAGCGACTGGACCACATTGGTCAACATACAGAGGTGGTCAACCGTCGCAACGAGACTGGACCTTAACGTGGTGCGACGGTTTGCGTACCTCATTGACCCATTGAGCTATACTGGGTGATGCCTCCGAGCATCTTGAGAGCTACTCCTACCAGGTTGGTCAATGGTGAGAGGTCAGACAAACTCAGTCTCCTGGTCCTCCAGGTTGGGGGTTTGAAATGGGATGGCGTCCATTTCTGTAAAACTAAATCATTGCCACCTCCCCGCTGCCTTGCGGACAGGCTTTTGAGCCAAAGGCTTTGGATGAGGACCCTAATCGTTCTCCTGTCTAGGTCTGGGCGCCCTGGCAGTATCCCAGCCCACATACAACCATGACATTTTCTTCAAACATAAATTTCATCCTGCATCGGCCGTCGCGCAGATTATCAAGGGTCGACTTATCTGCTGCATACAGCAGGGCGGATAAGCGAAAACATGCTACTGCTGGCGCCTCCCTTCTTTCTTTTCCACCTTTTTCTCTTACTCCCATCCCGGCCCCCATTACTAACCTTCCTTCTATAATTCCCAGCTTAATTGACAGCAACCAAAGTGCTACTGGAGTAGAACCATCCGCAGCCACCATCCCACAGCACCTATCGGACGCCTATCGGCAAAAGTTCCTTATAAGGCCACGCTGTCCCGTTACCATGGCGACATTCAACGTCCGCACTCTAAGACAAACAGGTCAGCAGGCTGCACTCGCACGCACCTTAGACACACTGGGTGTTGATGTGTGTTGTGTGTCCGAAACTAGGATTAATGACCCTAACGGGGTTATTGAATTGACTGCACCCGGCTTATCCTCTCGTTATTGGTTACATGCATCCGGAGACGCCGATGCGGCACTCACGGGTCAAGCTGGTGTAGGTATCATTCTCAGCTCCAAGGCTGAGTCATCGTTGGTTGATTGGATTCCGGTGAACAGCCGTTTATGTGCAGCCCGTTTGACTACATCTGCTAAGGTGAATTCGCGAAGTAAAACAAAACGCTGTTTGTTTGTGATTTCTGCTTATGCTCCCACGGACTGCAGTTCTAATGCAGTCAAGGACACTTTCTATCACGAACTGAACACGCTGCTACGCAGTGCTACTAGTTCAGATATTGTAGTACTTGCAGGGGATATGAACGCACAAGTAGGGCGTCTGAGCTCTTCAGAAGCTCAGCTGGGTGGTAAGTATGGACTTAACGCCGAACGGACTGACAACGGTGAGCGTCTGCTGCAACTGTGTGCGGAGCACCAGTTGTTTCTTACTAGCACTGCTTTTAGACACAGTGGGCGCCGAAGTGCCACTTGGCGTCCACCTGTAGCTGGTCAGCGATGGACCCAAATTGACCACATAGCCATAAGTTGCAGGTGGCGCGGTTCCACTCTGGATTGCCGCTCATACTGGAGTACCTGTGTCGACTCTGACCATGCCTTGGTGCGCTGTCGTTTCTCCATGAACTTTACCGGAAGGCGCACAAAGCGTCTCCCCCGATTGGCAACGGAGAAATTGTCCCAGCCCTCTGTCAGGCAAGCCTATCAAGAAGCACTGCATAGCGAACTCTCGCTGTCTTGCCCTAATGACACTGAACTTCAGTGGAATAGGATCTCGGCCGCTATGCACGACGCAGGAGCATCTGCTTGTGGCACTATCAGTCGTCATCGCACCAGTCACTGGATATCCGAGAGGTCCGTGAACCTTTTGGAAGCTAGAAGGCACCTCCCGGCTGGTTCTGAACACAATGTAACCAGACGGGCTATTAGGCGTGAACTAAAGCGGAGCCTACGTGCTGACAAGGAAGCCTGGTGGACCAATACGGTTCAAGAAATGGAGGAGGCAGGAGCAGTAGGCAATTACCGGAAGCTCTTCCAGCTAATCCGCACCACTGGTCCGAGGAAACCAGGCGTCAGTGAGACAATCAGGGACAGCGCGGGTGCGCTGATACACAATAATGAGCGCCGTATGGCTTGTTGGGCTGAGCACTTTGAACATCAGTTCAGCTGGCCCCCTGCTCCCGGACCTCTTCCTACTCAGGTGATGCAGGACGAGCCATGGACGGTTAGTTTAGAGCCTCCGTCGGAGGCCGAGGTCCGAAACGCGATCACAGCCCCCAATCGTTTTCGTGCCGCTGGCCCGGATTCCCTACCACCTGCACTATTTAAGGATGGAGGTGAGGTCCTCTGCAAAGCACTGACCTCCCTATTCGAACGTATCTGGAACGAAGAGAGTGTGCCGGCTAATTGGAGCGAATCGATTATAGTGGCAATATACAAAAAGGGCAGTCGCACAGACTGTGCGAACCACAGGGGTATTAGCCTAACGCCAGTTGTGACAAAATTACTGGCCTCGATTATCGTTCGTCGTCTCACTGCAAAACGGGAATCTCGGATTAGAGAAGAGCAGGCCGGTTTTCGCCCAGGACGTGGCTGTATAGACCATATATTTACTTTGCGGCAGGTGCTAGAGCAGCGCCACGCATACCGCAGACCGACAACAACTGTGTTCCTCGATTTCAAGAGTGCGTTCGATTCAGTCGATCGATCGATTCTGTTCGAAATACTTGCGCGGAAAGGTGTTCCCACGAAATATGTGAACATCCTTCGTGCTCTATACTCGAACACTAGAGGCCGCGTCAGGGTCTATGGTGCCCTATCGGATAGCTTTTCGACTACAAGTGGCGTTCGACAGGGTTGTCCGATTTCCCCATTTTTGTTCAATTACGTCGTGGATTCTGTCATGGAGTGTTCCCTTGCGGAATCTCACGATGTAGGTGTTGAAGTGCTGCCTGGTGAACGGTTAGTTGATCTAGATTATGCGGACGATATCGTCTTGCTTTTCGACAATGTTGAGGCGGCACAATCAACCCTGAATAGTCTATCCAGAGTGGTCCCATTATTTGGTATGCACTTCGCACCTTCAAAGTGCAAAGTGTTGCTGCATGACCACCAGCCACTCGATGACCCCTTGACGCTTGCTAACGAGAAACTCGAGGTGGTTGATCAATTCACTTATCTTGGCAGCTGCATCAGCAATGATGGGCGCATAGAAACTGACGTCAGCTCACGCATTGCAAAGGCCAGAGCTGCCTTCTTGAACCTGCGTCATCTTTGGCGACAGAAGGGAGTCTCCCTCCGTCTGAAAGGCCGTGTATACAAGGCCACAGTGAGGGCCGTTCTGCTTTATGGTAGTGAGACTTGGCCCCTTCGGTCTGAAGATCTGAGGCGCCTTCAAGTCTTTGATCATCGTTGTTTGCGAAGCATTGCTGGTGTCGGATGGCACCAGCGTGTCCGCAACGATGATGTGCGTAGGCGAGTACTAGGTGGTGATGATCATGCTAGCTCGCTAGAACAACAGATAGCACGGAATAAGTTACGTTGGCTCGGGCACGTGCTACGCATGCCTGGTCACCGCTTACCTAGGAGGGCCTTGTTCAGTCTACCAGGTGTCGGATGGCGCAAGGCTCGAGGTGGACAGAAGTTGACTTGGCAGCGGGAAATGAAGTCACTGACGACCAAACTGGGTGCCGTTGGTCCGTCTCGCCTTCCGGGTTGGAGCCCACGTGACTCACCTTGTGCTTGGCTCGAGACTTTACAGGACATGGCTCGCGGTAGACACCAGTGGCGCGTCTGCTGCCGTCTCCTAATTGGATTGTCTGTTTAAAGTGTGTTTGGTGCTGAGTTATCTGCGGGGTAATGGCTGATTATGACGCGTGGCAGTGAAAGCCGCAAGGAAGCTGTCTCGCCGATGCCGCCTTATCTTTGCACGATAGCCAGCTGTTTGTGACGGAATGTTGTTAACACAAGGTGTAGGCGCCTTGACCCTGAATGTTTGCTTAGGGCATTAAGGTTTTCAGGTAAGTCCTCCTTCTCTCCCTCTTATTCTTTATTTCATAGGTCCTCATGGTTGTATGGCAGCGAAGCATCAGTTCAAATGGCTGATGTACTGCTGTTGATGATGATGATGAGAGGTGGTCAACATGTAGAGATCTGATTCCATAAGGTTTACTTTGTGAAAGTTTACACAACAAAAAAGAAAACCGATTAATTTCAGGAGTTGGTCGGGATATAGAGATGGTCAACTTCCGATGTTTCATTGTTTGTTTGTTAGTGGTTTGTCATCAGGCTATACCAGAGCGTATGATAATGGAAACTCTAAGAGAATATGTTTTATGGGTATATAATTAACCGTATAAAAGTTGAGTGTACTTCTCACTGGCAAGAATAACCACTTCCAACACAATACTGCAATAGCGGTGTGACTCACGAACAAAAACGGACTGGTGGTATACATGGAACATGCAAATTACAGATTGCGAAATGAATATTAAGACAGGCTAATGGGGGAGTTATAATCGAAGCAAGGTTATGGAACGAGGTATCCAATTGTACATCAACATAAGTTGAAGAACAAAACCTGTTTGAAAAGCGACTTAGGAAAATGTTTTCATAAAATAATCATTTGGTAGAACTTTCAGTTGGATCTTTGTCACTATTTTTGAGGCAGGTAAAACAACAGTTCGCCACTCATTAGATATAAACACTAAGATATCAATAAACTCACCTCACGGAGAAGACGATTTGGCAAATTACCTCTTTGTCCTTGTGGATATATTCGATAGCAAGCATGATTATATCTCGGACTGCACAAGTATTCAGATTAGTCAAGAATACAGTACCTATAGCTGTCGATATGCTTTACTTGCGGTAATTGGAGGGACGTCTTCCGATATCGCGCCCCCATGTTCTCAGCCCTGAGATAAGTAGCAGTAGGCATTCAAAACGGTGGAAGTGCAGTACCTTTCGAACTGGTTTGCAAAAGATAAGCGTTGTGACAAAGCGTCATGATGATCTGATACGTCACTGATACTCCAGTCATGTGAAAGTATGGTAAGTAAGTCATCAGTAGACTCAGTCTCATCGGTTTCATCGAATGGAAACATCAGTCCATCTAACACAGTTGCAATCCTGGAGCTGGATACCATTAGATTCGATCCAACTTCACTTTTTACGTGCATCATTCCTAAAAAGTACTGGAGTAAATTATAAGTGCTATAGTGAAGGAATGCTAGATGCTAACAACAATTAAACCAATACCGATAGCCCCAGTGTATCTGCATACTGATGACGAAAACAGTGAGCTACAACCGTACATCCAGTGACCCATAAAGTCTATACCGATGTTATCAAGAGCAAATAATGACTGACTGATGTATGCCCGGGCGCAATGAGTGACGGCTTTTGTGCCCCTGTTTGTCCTAGTGAGATAAGTTTTCGACGATTAGATCGATCAAACCAATCAGTCGGACTGTGACTCGTGCCGTTGAGAAATATACCGTGCAACCACATGTGCCGTTCGTTGCTGGAATTGAACCACAACACTAAACTAAGAGGTCACCCACTGAAACTGACACTTCAGTATAGCAGGCTTGAATGCCGTAAAAATTTCTTTTCCCTCCGCGTGTGTCAGCCTTGGAACGCCCTCCCTAATTATGTCGTCTCTGCTCCCAATTTGGCGATATTTAAAAACGTGTTGACGATGCATTGTCTCACTTACATTGCACTTTATGACTTATTAGCCAGGCGCTACAAAACACAATCAAACGGTGTCTTGCTAAACGCCTAACCAATGGATTTATGGATTTATACGTTTAATACGCGAACATCTCCGTTGTTCCAAATAAGTCTATGGTGAGTCCACCAAACGCTTTTCACTTTACTATGCAATTGCTTTTCGCAATAATTTCCATCCTACGGGACTTGTTACGCAATGCTTTTTTTACCCGTAATAAACCATTGTTCCATTGTTTAATATAAAAAATCATTTTCAACGTGGCATTAACATATTTCGTCAGTGTGTCGCTTCTTAGCAAGAATATCACCAGCACACAACGGTACTAGCTTTTCACAGCATCAGAACGCGGTGCACCGAAACGTTTTCTTAAGTAACTGATAAGTAAGCAAGATGTGTCCCACTGGTACTGCCAAGGGGAACACAGATTGTTCACTCAGCGGCAGTCTATTGTCACACGCACTGACTGTGTGCACTAAATGCCTAAAAAGAAAGGGTTTTGATTCAAGGCCGGTGGTGTTAACGACGAATTATGGTATTTAATGTTATCGTTAGACAAATTACGCCATATATTTATGCGTGTGATCGAAGACGCGTGAAATGTGACGCCTATGAGACTAGGAAATAATACGCTTGATCAAGGTACACAATCGATTGTTACCATCAAGCGAATGCAGTTGAAGACAGGCAACTATATTCGGAAGGTGGCTACAAAAGAGTTTGATGGTTGAAGCGATACAGAAGCGAGTGTCAGCACATTAGCTCACTGAGCAGACTAATGAGAGGGGATATGGACTGAGGGTAGGGCGCAGTGAGACAAGAACGAATAATGTACAATCGACCAGCTGAAAAGTTGCGCGCAGAAAATAGAAATTATATTTTGGGGCGTTTGCACCTTCGCACGTTGCCACAGAAGGCGGGCAGCTAATTAAGTGCGAACGTCGCAATTGGCATTGCGCTAAACGAAAGCTGCGGTCACGAGTTTAACCGACACACAAAAGCCTGGGCTAGGCGAACTGTGCAGCGTGGCGAATAGAGTTAGCCAGAATTAGTGAGCCACGACTGGGCACGACATGCCAAGCTGTGTCGCAAATGTTAGAGGGACGGGTTTTATGTCCAGTGAAGAGGACCTACGTAATGGATCCGCCTAGGATCGATAAGTCGTGCGGTGATCATGCCTACCAGGTCGATGGCAGTGCCGACGTTTGCGAAGATCGCTTGAACTCGAGAAAGTACATCGGCGCATGCGCGGTGCATGTCTGAGATATGGCGTACATCGGTTGGAAACTAAGAGATAAAGCCTAGGTGGTGTGACTCACAGGAAGAGCACTAGGCGGTTGTTAACACAAGCACACCAGTCAGTGGTGCGTGATTGATGAGGACCGCAAACGTGCGGCTTTCTAAGTCATGTAGACTGATAAGTAGCTGGTTAATCGTTCTTTACCAAATGTGTGAAAAGGATAATTGTTGCTAAATTTTAGCTATCTGTTGCTACAAGACAGCGCGCGCTGACAAAAGAGAAACCTTGGTACTGAGCGGCAGTGGCGTTGCCGGGTCGTCGTATGCTATAGTAGTTATGGTGGTTATGGTAACTTACAAAGATTTGAACGCAGTGTCTGCTGCAGCAGGAAAATCGAATTTCCTGAGCTTTCACGGTGAAGATCCGTGATAGGCTGAATAAGCGATGCACTGTAAAGTATGGAGCGAATTCGTCATAACGTCCAAGCTGTTTGAATGACTGAGGCTCAGAATAGTCGATGACGACTTTAATCTTATCCTACAGCTACACGACGTCTGCACATGAGATATGATGGCTGAAAAAGTTAATCGAATCGGCAGCAAACGAACACCTCTGTGTTGATCGTCACCCCGTGTTAAGATAAACGGTCAAAAAGGAGGTGCAAGTACTCGGTGCATGAAGAACTCGCCATCATAATGGTATCGAGGAAAACAGGTGACGTATAAAGCGCGACCAACTTGGTCGATGATGAGTTGAAATGTTTGTAAAGCATTCGTAAATTAAATGGCATGCGCAGAAACTCGAGCAAAACAAACAAGACCGTCACGGCCGTTTTAACGTTGGATGTCTCAGCTATGGCATTTTGGTTGTAGGAGCGAACCAAGTCGACTTGCTTATACATGAGACTGACTGTGAGATCCACGAGGTGAGTGATCGGAAAGCAATCGAATGTGATCCTTCTGGGAAGGATGATAGGATCAGAAGTAGCCCATGATCATCATCATTACACGTTAGATGAAGGTGGAAAACATTTCGACTATTGTACTGCAGTACAAGAACATAAGACATGAAAACGAGTTACGTAGCTTCACAAAATACAGAATAAGAGAACAAGTAATATAATATGTTGCATTGGTAATGAGATCGTGATTGGAAGGGGAAGACAGAGGTGAAAAGAAGAACAAAAAACTCCCAATGCGAGCACGATTGAGGTCAGCTCTTCGTCATGTCAACAAGTGTAGCTCACCAAACGTTTTCATAATCTTCGGGACTTTAGCCTGGTAGTCGGAAGGCACCAACCGATGCCAACTTCGAAGTGGGGGTTTTCATTCCTTCTGTCCACCTCATCGATTGGCCTTCCCTCCACTTGCTCTATTCAGACCCCGGTCGCACAAACAATGCACGTCGCGGAAGTCGGTGTGCTCGCATGCACAAGACGTGGCCCAGCCATCGGAGTGCATACGTAGGTGTTATAGCCAACCATTCTGGGGTCGATTCACAAATATTTGCCGAATCTCACAGAGTAAAATTGAAGGTCAGGAGCATTGCGTTTTACGCCGCTGCTAATTAACTCCGGCCAAAACCCAGCAATGGGCTGTGATTCACCTCTTCGGAGTGAAAAATATCTTGGACCATAGTAATCACAGGTTGATGGAGGGGTTAGGCAAGGTGCCTATACTTTGATTGGTCTATGGAGATAACCGTATTTTCACAATCTACTTCGAACCTACTAAGAACTCCCATCGAACGGTTAGTAATAAATGTAAGCAACATCTCAGGACTGTTCGCATTGAGTAAGAGAAGGATTTGGCTGATTTTGCCGCGAACAATCCCAATAGGTTCGTTGCTAAGGCAATGACGCGCAGAGGTGTGAACTTGTCTTCCCCAGTGTTATTAAGAGCAGACTAGACCCGTGCGCACATGGACTATGATAAGGCTCGTACAATTAGCGAACAGTGTACCAGTGCGATCGCTCCTGTGATCTCTCAAACACGGATGCAAGTGGTCTCAAGAATTCCGGAGGATTCCTACATAGATTGGTAGAAGCAAGACTCAGGTTTTCCAGCAACTGCATGAAATAAACCCCCCTAAAGCTTGCGGCACCGATTAAGTTCATTCGAAGCTGTTGAATGAATTGGCTGCGGAATTAAGAGATCAATTTACATGCCTGTTTTTGAATTCACTTGACAACTGCGTCTCACCTTCATAATGGCGGGAGTGCAGCGCCCCAAAATAAAACTATTATCTTTTGTGTACAATTTCACTGATGACCAATTGTGCAATAGTCTTTCTTGTTATAATCTCCTTTACATTACGTCCACGCTGACCTACATCCGGCTCGACACTTGACCGGCTTGTAAGTTCCCGCGCTAACGCGTTTGCTCTTGTCTCGCTTCATCCGTCCGCGTCTTCTTGTAGCCCATCGAATACAGTCCGCTATGTCCGAATCCAAATGCCTTCTGATATCCGCGCTTAATTTCGCGCACCGTCTCGGACTGGTATTTATTAATCCTACAAGTTGGTGACACCGAATCACACGCATAAAATAAAACGTTTTCTTCAATTGTATTTGCTGGTGATTTCGTTCTTTTTTCTTGATTATATACGTGTATTCAATTGTGTCATGCATAATTTTAGTTGTTTCAGCGTGTTTTCTGCACCCTTTATCTCTTCGATTCAGATTTCGAAAGTAGCATCTGAGTCGTTTCACAGCGTAAACATGCTTACCTTGGCTGTTCCAAGTTTCATGGAACACAGCGCTGAGGTTGGGTTTGCGATATTCGAGATCGAACTGGAAAATAAGGGCACTAAGACGGACCGTTCGAGGTACAATCACCTCGTCCCACGCCTTTCTTCGTCGGTTCTGACGCTGGTTGATGGCATTCTACTCTGCCCATCGAATGAGACAAAGTATGAAATGATGAAGCTAGCAATTCCAAAAAGTTACAGCCAGCGCACGAGCTCGATTTGAACAGCTCAATGGTCTCAAGCTTGGAGATTGCAAGCCGTCGACGTTGCTCCGCGAAATTCAGCGCATCGCTGGTTCCTTATTCTTGTGCGAATAAGGGATGAAGGAACTGTGATTTGCAAGTCTCCTAGAGCCGTTGCCGTTTATACTGTGCATGTTTCTGGATACGCCCCTGAAAGAATTAGCTACCAAGGCAGACGCTGCGTTCGAACGTCTTCCTCAGCAGACGACGAGTAACTCCAA